AATGCTACCGCATTTTAATTTTACATCGTTTTTAAGCCAACCGATGTAGAAATGGTGATGTAGAATAATACTTTTGTAGTAGTGGTGGATGGATTATCAATATTAATAGTCTTGTTTCATTGTCATGAATCTAGTTTGTTATTGGCAGGAATGTTTTTCTTGTATTTGTTATTGAAACTTTGTATTTCTTTACTAGATGAATGTTATGTTTGTGTTTCTTATTGAAACTTTATATTCTTTACTAGATGAATGTTATGTTTGTATTTGTTATTGGACCAAATTTTATTTTTATTTCTTTACTACAACCATGTTAAAATCATAATGAACAATGTTATAAATTTTTAGGGTACATGATGAGTAAGAGTAAGAGTAAGGAAAAAATAGATATTAATCAACTACCAATAGAAACATGGAGGTGGTCTGAAGAGATAAACTATTCATTAGTTACTACAGTGGATGATGATGCTAGAAAAGGCAATAGAATTGATGATAGTTGGTCCTTAAAAGCTTATTCAAACATTGGTAAAACTCTTCGTTCTTTAGGATTTCCAAAAATCATAAAAAATCACATCAAGAATAGACAAAAAACTACAAAAGATAAATGGCGTGAGGCCCATGACTTATTCCATAGTCTTAATGGCTTTGCATGGAGTCCTCTTACTAAGAGGTTTGAGGTTGAAAGTGATACATGGGATGAATTAATAAAGTTTAGTGAAGTTATTTAATTTCCTTAAAATAAATAACTTAAATTAGTTACTTAAATTTTTTTTTATGGATGTGCATATATAGGCCAAACCATCTACTGTAAAATAGAGAAGTTCACAAGTTTATCATTATATTATATGAGTTTTATGTAGCTGACTATGCTACTAAACTTAAGGGTTTGACTACAAGACAAATACATAGAGCTATGGACAAGGAGACTAAATACATTGATCTTAATGATACCTTCTAAGACATTACCATGAATGAAGAAGAATTTCTTAATTATGATGACATACAAACTTCAACTCCAAATGTTGAAACTTTTAATCCTAGATGTGCCTAGTCAAATAAGTTAACCGAGACTTCAAGTTCTCATGGGACTAAAAGGAAATCACCAATGGTAGATGTCATTGAAACTCAGATGGACAAGTTGACAACTAGTATTGATCACATGACAAAAGAATTAATAATTGATAATGCTTTGATTGAAAAACTTTCTAAGGTTGTAAAGAGACAAGTAACAATATCTGAATGCCAAGTTTTGGCCATTGAAAAATGCAACCAACTTATTCAGAAGTAGGTTACCATCATGAAGCAAAATACTAGTTGTTTATATTCAAAGTCAGATGTTTAGGACCTGCTCACTAGATTGAATATATTTGGTTATAAGAAATTGACATGTTTTGAGTTTCTATGCAATAATGAATCAAATAAGCTTTTGGTGTTCGGAATTTCTTCTGAGATGCTTCTTGAAGCATTACTTAAAATGTTTCTTGATGTAAGATTACGTTAGGATATAATTGTAATTTGTATTTTGATTGTCATGTTAAAACAACTTGTAGCATGATGACTTTTATGATGTATTTTGATAAACTTGCCTTGATGTATTTCAGTAATTATGTAGCATGACAATATTTTGATGTTGGACATGTATTTTGGACATTCTTTGAAATAGATGTTTTATGTATGAAAATAATCAATTATGTTACTTGTGTAATGTCATTTAATGTTTGAATTTTCTATGATTTATATGTTGCCACTGATTTAAATTGTATTTTATTATTCAATCTATTTTTGTTAAGACAAATGGTGTTAAATTATCTTTTTATTGCAGATAATTTGAAATGTTAGGAATGTTTAGACAAAAAAAGTATAGTTGGAAAGAAAAAGAAATAGGTTTTAGAAGTTCAAAAGAAAAATGACAACTTTGCCCCACAAAAAGCACTTGATTATGGAAGATATTTTGCGTTTAATGAACAAATGAATACATATGTTAATGATTTTTATGAAAGAGCATTTGTAGAACCAAAGATCATGGATATGAATTTTTTTTTTTTTTATAGTAGAGGATTCCAATTTCAATAGTATTTGCAATACTTGGGGCTTCAAAACTTTTTTTTCAGTTGGAGGATCATACTTTCTTGATTTATTCAAGGTTTTCTATGACAATCTTACCATATTTACTACTGCCATATTATACTCAAAAGTTCAAAATGTTAAGATTCAAGTCAGGCCACTTGATTGGTTAACAATTGTCAATTTAAAGTATAAAAAGGAGTAAATTTGATATTGGTAACTTTAGTCAACGTGAGAATTATGATCGTAACATTGCATTGGTTGGAATAATTAAACAAGGAGTCTAAGGATTAAACTTAAGAAGTGCAACTAGTTTATTAGTGGAGGATAGATTGTTGCATTACATTTTGGTCCACACATTAGTACCCCGACAAGGTAATTATGCATTACTTACTAGTAATGACATATTTCTTTTATGGGATATGAAACAAAAGGTTGCAATCAATTGACCATATTACATATGTCAACACGTGAAGAAATGCAAAGAAAAAAGTGATACATGCCTTCCATATGCTATATATATATATATATATATATATATATATTTCAAAAATAATGGAAATTCATGGCATGGATATGATTGGAGATGCTAACATTAGACCTACTTGGACTAATTATTTTAATTAACGTACCCTAAACAAAATGTTAATATAGTGTGGCAATATGGTGATAAGTAGCAACACATTGAAGAAGATGTTGAAGATCAGTGTGACAATCAAAATGATGATGTTGTCATAAGCCAAATTCTTCTTGAGATAATGACATGTTAAACCTTATTTATGCTAGCATTCAAAGCTTACAAAATAAATTGAAAATTTTAACAATTAACGTTTAAGCTTTAGATACAAAAGTTAACACCAGATTTGAAGAATTGGATCAAATGATTACTAGACTTGAAAATTTTTATCTACCCAAGTTCGAGTAACTTTATGATCTAGGTGTCATTATGTATCTCCATTTTTATGGTTGTGTTTATGTTTTTTTTTTGTTTTTTTATGTATTTTTTTAAGTACAAAATTTAATTCTATGCTTGTATTATGTTTATGTTGTATTATGTATGTGTTTAAGTAAAAATTTTAATTTTATGCATGTATTGTGCATGTGAACCTATTTTATATATTCTATTATTTATTTTAATTAGACTTTATTAAATTTAATTATATTTATATTGTACATGAATTATATATTAAAATTAATTATACAAATATTTATATATAAACTGTTAATAAATATTATATACTAAAAATTGTTGTTTATCATTAGTATGAAATATCTTATTTTGTGCCAACTTTTTAATAAAATACGAAAACAATTTATATACAAGATAATAATTAATAAAAAGTATAACTATCCATTTTTTTAAATTATTTATTTTTACGTAATCACATATCGGTAAATATAATTAATAATTAACATTAATTATAAACAATAATTTATAATAAATATTAAATAATAAAAATAATGTAACAAAAATTATTCAAATAAAATCACCTTTGAAAAGTGATTTTATTTGAATAAACTTGTTTGTTCAAATAAACAACAAACTTATTTGAATAAAGCCACCTTCTAGAAGTGATATTACTCAAATAAACCTTGTTGTTTATTTGAATAAACAATAAGTTTATTCAAAATAAAACTCCTCCTTGAAGTGTTTCTATTTGTATAAAGATTTCCTTTCGAATCAATATACAATTTTAGTTAAGGGTAAAATTGTAATTTTATTACTAATTATAATATCTTTTCCCTCTTTATTCAAATCAAACAACTTTACAATATTATTTCTCTTTTATTTCTTATCTACTTCTATTAAACCAAGTAACCTTATTTCTACTCTAATTCTCACCTATTTCTACTCTCTTATTTCTCTCTCTATCTCTCTTTTTTCTATTTCTTTTCACTCTATTTTTTTTATTTCTCTCTTCTCAACCAAACACAGTGTTATGAATGGATTTGTGTAAAATTTTCAACTAAAAATGCATGGACAAAACTATCTCTACATTATTGTTTAACTAGTTAGTTAGTAAAGATTAAAATAGTAATTATTTAAATAATATATTTTTACATAAAAATCTAACAATGTAAAATACATTTTTAAAATACCAATTTCTCTCTATTTTTCACATAATTCTACTCTATCATATAAATACGAATTTCACATTATATCCCATTTATTTCTTATCAAATCATTTATCACATATTCTCTTCCATTATCTTTAATTCTTCCCTTTCCTAAACAAAGCATAAATATTAAAGATAATCAATTAAGCAATTAATATTTATTGGTTTAACTGTTATTGTGATTGATTCTCACATCTTATGATTTCACGTTCGTATCTTAAGTTTAATAAAAATATTATTTTTTATTTATTTTTATTAATAATAAAAATATAATAATTTATCAAATATAAAAAGTAAGGTAATTATTAAAAAGGGTATTTCCGATGTATATATATTAAACGTGAATTTTGTAAATCCATCCGTTAGATTGAAAATTCATATCACTTTATATATTTACATCAAATTTTGTTAAAATTAAATAACAACTTGAAAGTAATCAAAATGTTCATATTTTAATATATTTTAAAATGTATATACTATATCAATTTTGTTTTATCATAATGAAGTATCAAATCATTTTGAATTAATATAAATTTTTATATATATATAATTTAAGGGTAAAAACTTTTAATCCAACGGTTAAATTTAAAAAATTAACATTTAATATAAAACTATTGAATTGTATAATACTTAATAAAAGTTAGTTATTATAATCCTCCTCTATATATATACCCATATAAATAAAAGAAAACTTATTTTAAGCAAAGAATTTAAACTTAATAATAATAATATAAAAAAAAACAGAATGCGACGTAAAAACGACGTCGACTTGTTTCTTTGGTGGTACGCTTAAAACCCTGAAAGCGACGTTTGGCATGGCATTAGTTTGCTAGCATAGTTGCATTCCCTCATCCAATCCAAAACCAAATCGACACAACAGATCGGAATCTATTGCGTAAGGAGCAATTATCCCAACAAACATTGTAACGCCAATCTCCAAAACCTATCTCATCGGAATCTCCAAAAAAACACAGACAATAGAATGGACGACAAAACGCAGTCCGAGAGTAAGAAAAACGACGACGACGAAGTTACGCAAACACGACAAGACCCTAAACCGTCGTCGGGCGGGTGGGGTTTTTCTCTCTCGTTTCTCTCCGATCTTCAGAAAGCCGCCGCTGTTGCCGCCGAAGAGATCTCTCGCAATGTGCGTTTCCAAACGACCTAACCATGTGCCGTTTTGTTTCTTATTTTTTTTATTTTTTGGTTGCGATCCAAACAATTCATTTCAAATTCATTCTGTGACTTAGCTGCTGATTTATGTGTTATAATTAGAAATGTGGTTTTCCCTGTTTATTATTGTTTTATTCTTTTTTAATATATATATATATTTTGTGAAATTGGGCTTATTCGATTTCTGTAAATTGTTGCACATGGTGTTTTTGGTGATTTTAATTTTTTTTTTGTGTTACTAATTTAGCTGGTAGTGGAGTTCGTCAGTGTCGAGTTCTCAAGTCCAACTTAGGGGATTCATAGCGTGCAGATTTCATTGTTATGATTTTTTTAAAATTTTTTTTGGAAAAAAACTATATAATGGCTATACTTGGTTGAAGTCAAAATGGGTATGTGGGAAAGAGATTGATGCTTTATTCTTGTAATAAATCCTAGCCTAATTACTTAAAATGGATAATATTGAATGAAAACGTAGAGGTATTAATGTCTTGGAAATTATTTAGTTGTGGAGAATTATTAGGAAGAATCATTAGAAAGAGGGTATCCAATTTTTTGTTGTGAATTAATGGTGTTTTGAAATGTAGGCTGCTGTAGTTGCCCAGACAGCATCAAAGAGCATTGCGGAGTTGCAAAATGGTGATGAAAGTTCAGAATCTTCCAAAGAGGATGAAGGATCTGCAGCTGTCAAATCTGGGGAGGAAAGTGATGATGAGGATGAGAAACGGCGAAAATCTGCTCTTGATAAATTGGAGAAAGCTAGTGAAGATTCACTGCTTAGTCAGGCAAGCTTAAAAGGATACTCTTATATGGGGGGTTGGGGTTGTTTAATTTGCAATTTAGATGTTAGATTTAATGGATTTGAGTGTCTTGGTCTACGCATTTCTAGCTGGTTTATTTTCATGTCTTTTCTTTGAAATAGAAATATGAAGATTTCCTTTTACATCCCTTTTGCTTAACTTGTACAGTTGTACTCACGTTTTTTCTTCTGAGTGGTGGTTGAAAGTAGGCTATCTAGCTTCTAGAATATGCTTTTATCAGTCTTGCCTCTTATACGTTTGGTTTTGTCTAACAATTGTCATGAATCATGATTAACAATGAGCAATGTTTTTACCAAAGTCAATTGATGGTTTTTGTTGCACTGTTTTATCAGTGAAAAATAATAATTCTGTATGTGGATGCAAATTTTATGCTTTTAGGTAGTCTGTACTTAATGCATTAAGCACTTACACCCAAGCTCCTTAATGTTTGCAGGGTTTGAAGGTTTTTGATAGCTCTGTGGAGACTTTTGCTTCTGGGGCTTGGAGTGCTTTAGGAAATGCATGGAGAGGGAGCACTGATTTTGTTCAACGGTATAATTCATTGCTTTATTTATTTTTCCTTCGTTTGATTTTTACATTGACTCACATGGGGGTTCTGTATCTCTTGTCACTGATCATTGTTCTCATGGAGATATGTTGATATTTTGATTTGGGGATGACAGACATTTATGTGCAACTTGAGGGGGGGGGGGTGGTGTTAAATCCGGTAGGTGACCCAGATTGGTAAAAGCAAAATTAATTTTAGGAAGTTATCTATCTTGTTTATTCTTTTCCTTTTTTCTCTCCCTATTTAACAGATTTGATATGCATAAATACTGATTGTACTACTATTTTGAATTCATTGAGAAATAAAATGTTCGTTCTCTAAACCTAGAGCTTCATTAACTATATTTGATGACACTTGCTAGAGCACTGGATATGATTAATGAATTCATTGCAAGCATCAAGGTTAGACAAGGCAGGGACCAGCTAATGGGTTCAAAATCATAGGAAGCCAAGGATTTGGAAAGTTTATATGCATAAGAAAAAGAAAAGGCTAAGGGGAGAGAATTAGTTACAATTGCTAAGCTGGCAAGTTTGTTACGCTATGCAGCATAGTTACTGGGGAAGGGGAGAGTGTAGACAGGAGGTGGTTAGTCTTGGTTGTTGTCAGAGAAATAGTTTTCTTGGAGAACCTAGGCTCTGGTGGTTCCTTGGAAGAGCTCAGCCCTCCTTTCTATTTTAATTAATAATATTATTTTTTTCTGGTGTTCTATCAGTGCTCCTTTTAGATAACTCAACATTCCTCAATTTTCTGGTATAGATATATCTGTCTTAGAAAGTTGATTTGGACCTAACTCAACCCTACAAAATTTGCTTGTAAGGTGAAAATTGCTTCCTACTTATATACTCTAATAAGGCTTTATCTCTAGTTAATATGGGACTTGGGGTTTATCCCAATAGTCTGTAGTATAGTTGCATAAAACTACTCCACAGCCTTTGCTTGTTTCAAATATGCTATATTTTTATTTTTATTCTTTCTTTTCTGCCTGTCTTGTTTATATTTAATTTATGGATCTAACTTCTGTTGAATGAGGAAAATGTTTCATTTTTTATTTGAAGTAATGGCCTTTCTCTGCTTTCCTGCATTATGTTGCGAGTATCCATTGATATTCAATGGAAACCTTGTGTTGTCTTTAGTTTTCCATCCAAGTCACTGAGCAAGGTTTAGTTTTAGAATACTTCACTAGTTTCATAAACGATGCAGTTGCTTCTTATCATACAACAGACTGTGTTTAAAGGCTATGAACCTGAAAGATGTCCTTGTGTTCTGTAGGCTCGAGAATTCTGCTTCAAACCTTTCAGGATCTGCACAGCATGATGGGCCAGGGGCTGCTGGTTCTAATGCATCTTCTCTATTAGAGGTTTGGAAAATTTGTCAATCTTCATTTGATTTTTGTTATCAATGATTATGGATTATGGATATACATGCATATTTCTATTCCATGTGCTACAGACAGGAAAAGCTTTTACTGCAAAGGGAATGCAAGTGCTTGAGTATGTTGGTAAGGAGACGATGGACCTATTAATTAGTGAAACTGGAATTGAGGTTGAAAAGGATAAAAAGGAAGGTGAAGAACAAAATGATGAGGATCAATTATTAGAAGAAGTGACTTTTGATCGATGCTTTTACATTTATGGAGGTCCTGAGCAATTGGAGGTATTATTTTTAAAATACATAGTAAATTTCTCATAATATCATTTCTGTATCTTATAGAATATTTTAGAGTATCTTCAACCAACACCTATCGATCCAAGTGACAATGGGTTTGATTCTTCTTAAGCAAGGTCTTAGGTTTAAGTTTCAACTCATGTGAATGAATAAAATAGGCATTGGGAGCTAGGTTGTCAATAGTGGTTGTAAATGTAATGACCACAATTGTGGCAGAGCAAAGTGGAGCATCTCCTTGCTACTACGGTAACCCTGTAGCATAGCATTTCACTTGATGCGGCCGGAGTGGGCGCAAAACTGCAGAGAGTAGCAGTATACAAAAAAATTTAAAAATATCTTAATGAGAGTGTTTTCGCCTTTTTTTTTCCTGTTCCCTTAATTTTATTTCTTTTTCTTCTTTTTCTTTCCCATTTTTTATTTTTTCTTTTCCTTTTTCTCTTTCTGTTTTTCCTTTATTGTAGGCAACAACAGTTTTTGTTATTTTGTTCATTTTTTTACTTGTATGGTTTTGTTCTTTGTCGTTCATGAGAAACATGGCCCAACCAAATGTTCGTAATAGTAAAAAAGAAAGAGTTCTAGTGCTGCTGGTATCCCATCAGTTATCAAAAGTATTGGGAATAACCCAAGTCAAACTTCGATTATAGATAAGACAAATACAAAATTTATAAGTGGGAGACAACTTTTACTTTAGTAGGCGATTTTGTAAGGTTGAGTTGTGCTGAGAGCCCACTTTCTAAAATAGTATTAGAGCTATCATAAATTCACTCTAGAAGGGGTACTTACCATTTATACATGCAACAAACTCAATAATATTGGGCGTGAGGAGGTGAATTGGAAAAAACTCAAGTATCGCCTATCCTAATATTAAATAGTGTCACCCATCATTTATTAACGCACCAAACCTAATAATATTGGACGTCAGGGGGTATATTGAGAAAAGTTCAAGTCCTACTTTAATTAAAGATAAGGCAAACAAAGAGTTTATAAATGGGAGACAACTCTCGCCATACAAGCCGATTTTATAAGGGTGTGGCATGACTAGAAGTCTAATATTTAGTATAAATTGGGGGTGCATTGTTCTTTTTAACCACATCATTACATTCCATATATCTATCTATATATTCTATTATTCAAGAATTTGTTCTCTTTTTTCCTCCTCCACGGAAACCGCTAATTTCATCACTTTTTCTTGATGTATTAAATTGTGCCATTTTAGATTTCTGTTTCACAAATTATTTCATGTGCTCAGGAACTGGAGGCATTATCTAGTCATTATGCCTTGTTATTTAACCGAAGAAAAGCAAAGTTATCAGCTGAGCAAAAGTCTGTGTATGATGGGAAGCTTAAAGAGGTTCAACAAATTTTTAATTTGAGTACTGAAGTTGATAGAAGCAATGCTGATTCAAACAAAGGAAAGACAATAAAGACAGGAAATGAGGGAAGCAGTGATGAGATGAAGAATTTACATGATTCAAGTGTTGGCAAGGCTGCGGAAATGGCTGCAGGGTAATTTGACTGTCCTCATAATAAAAGATGTTTTATTCACCTACCATTGTGGTCCATTTCTGATATAATAAAATATTGCAATTCCATGCACCAAAAGAAAAATTAGTTACAGTTCTATCTGCAAGGATGTGAAAGTATGGGTTTAGAAAATCTACTAGATGTAGATAATTTGAATGTTTGTATGCAGGATAAGATGGATAACATGTATTTATGGTCATAGTTTTAGTTGAAGCAAACCAAGTTTGAATGTGTTTTTCTATCCCTTTACTACAAATGTCATGAGCCAACTATCTCAAGCTTAAGCCATTAGGTGAAGGTATATGACTGGTTTTACTTTATATTTAACACATCCTCTCACTCGCAAGAGCCCTTTGGATAATAATGCAGAGCTCCACTTGGCTTCATTCTATAATTTCATTTATTATTAGAATGGGGGTGGTAGCTTGGTAGGCAAGGATTAAATCTAAACTACTTGACCATAGAGGCTCTGATATGTCATGGGCAAACTAATTCCAAAAGCTTAAATGTTTTTATACTATATTACATCTAACAAATTATTAGTTTTTTATCCCTCCCACTTAATGATCCTGATCCTGGTCTTTCTGAGCAGCTCTGACTCTGATCATTATGTATGTTCACCATTTACCTATATATAGATTAACCAAGCCCTCTTAACTATATTGTATGGTATATATGATGCTTCTTGTTTATTGCAGTTTCACTAATGCCTTGACTGGACTAGCTGCTAATGATATAATTCAGAGAACTACAGCAAGATTGGATTCTCTCCATTCTGAGGGAGTTCATGTACGAGAAAATATTATGGAATTTGCTGGCAAAAATATTCTTCATATCACATGAGGCTTGTTTATAAGTGAGTAAACAAGTGCTGCTTTTCTTTGCAGAGACTATCTGAAATGTGCTGTTTTGCTGTGTCTCAAATTCTTATGTTCGGCAAATCCATCATTTCTCGTGCCAACAAAACTGAGGATGAAGCTGATGATGATAAGATGAACATGGAATGGCCTGAAGACGTTTCTGCAAAAGCTAATATCATAAGAATAAATGCTCAAACAATGATAGGATACGTGGAAGCAGTTTCCAACAGCTTTATTACAGGTTGGCTATCTACTGATTCCACCCTATGTTGTCATCACATATTAAAGTATGCTCTCTGGATGCCAGGAATTTCCATTAGGTAGTGTTTTGATAAGGGATTTCCAAATTTCATTGAATATACTTGAAAATTCAATCACTTTGATTAAATTCCTTTCATTTTTATATTATGTTGTTTGGATAAAGTAATTAAAATCCTGTATTTAGATTAAGTAATTTAATTTCCAACATATGCAAACTTAATTCTGTTATTTGAAATTCTTTCATTTTTCATTAAAAAAATAACCCCTATAGAATTCCCATCATTTTAAAAATTCTTTGGATTTAATATTTAAACAAAACATTTTGATGTTTTTAAATTCACTTAGGAATTGAATTCCTCTCAACATGATTTTCCATTTGTGATGTGTTTTAATTAGGCATATCTGATGTAACTGAGGCCTATCAAGCTTCCATTAAAGCTGCGGCTGAGTCTCACTCTGTTGTTCCCCAAACAACAGTTCAGGAAAAAGCCAGTGCCTTCTCTGAGCACCTTCGAGCTGATCAAGCCACAGCGATATGCAAAATCCAGGACGGGGTGCAATTTTTAGCTCACGTTCTCATTTCAACCTCAATGAATGCTGCTTGAACACCTAATGTTCCTATCTGTAAATAAATAGTCACAGTTTAATTAGTAAAGTGATACCACTCAACTATGCTTTAGTTTATGTCAACCGTGCATTATTGAACCTTACTTTGTCTTACACTCATAGTTTGATCTGGGGGGCATATTTGTTGTGTTTCATTGATTCGTGCACCCATTTTATTCTTTAAATCCCTCAATCCAGTCAGTTCAAATATAAATATATTTTAGATGTGCACACTTCTTAATTGTGTTAGTTATTTTTGTTTAGTTTTTAAATATCTGATGCACTGGTTTAAGTTGGAAGCAATTGATGATTACCTAACTGATTATATGTTTAGTGGTGTAAATGTAATAAGATTGTGGTAGCAATTCCCCAGTATGTTTGCATGAAACTTGAATTTGGATCTTAATATGAGGGAGTTCTCCCAATTCTTTAATTGGGAAACTTTGACTATAAATATGAAAAAAAATGTTAAATATTAGGAATATATTTTATTACACTCTTTTAAATGCGTATTCTCTCATTAGTTGAAATGAGATGTAGTTTCAATCCGCGTTTGACCCATGAATTTTTTTAAAACTTTTGAGTTGGATAAATTATTCAATGTTAAGGGGAAGGATTTATTCAGTTATGAGTATGACTTATGAGTCACGTTAAATTTAAGATACCTTCATTTTGTTGTGAATGGGTCTGGAATGGGTAAGGGGTTGCAGAGGGGGATGCGAGTAGGGGTGGGTAAAATGAACTGAACCGAACTTATAAAAATTATACTGAACTTAAAAGTAGTTCATATGGACTGAACTAAACTAAACATTAGTTCAGACGAACTAAACTGAACTTTTCTTGTGTTATTGAACTGAATTGAACCAATTTAAACTGCACTAAACTGTTATGATATTTTGAATTGAACAATTTTGACTCATTGATCTATCAAAATAGGACACATTTGTCAACTTTACTTTATTTTCCATTTTATTTAAATTTTTTAAAGAAAAAAAATATAAAATTAAGTCAAACAAACTCAGTGAATTTTAAGCCTAAAAATAAGTAGTTCAACATAGCTCAATTGATCCATTAAGTTCGACAAAATTGATACATTTTTTTTTCAGATCACTTTTTTTCTAAAGTTTTGCTTATTAAACTATTGAGCTAATCCATTAAGACATAACATGTTAAACACATTTAATTTTTATTCTTTTATAAAAATAGTTCAATTTTTATAATTTAGTTCAGTTTTTATAGTTCAGTACAGTTTAACTTTACAATAGTTCAGTTCAGTTTTTTATAGTACAGTTCACCACCAGTTCAGTTCAATTCAGTTTAGTTTAGTTTTTTTTGCCCACCCCTAGATGCGAGCTAAGATAATAGAAGGAAATGAATGGAAAAGGAAAGATTAAGGAGAGAGAGAAAACTTTTTAATTATTTTAATAAATTAATTTTATATTACTAGAATTTTATTTTTATTTTTATTACATATTGACTTAAACAAAAGGGATGAGTGGTTTTTAGTCCCAATATTTTGGTGTATATTGCCACACACACCATTGGTGAATAATTTTCAATTTGATGATATTTTTTCAAAATCCATTGATAGACTCAAATTATATTTCACTTAGATTATAGATACATAATTTTATATTTATAAAAAATTATGAAATATCTCATTCAAATAAATCAAAATTAACATAATACATGCTTTTGAAAATATACTAAAATATGAATAGTTTAATTATTTTTTACGGTTGTTCAATTTTTAACAAAAATTAACATATGCATTTAAAGTAATACAAAGTTTTAATCTAACATTGAGTTTTGATAAGACATCATCTAATTAAAAGTTATTGGACGAAAATCTAAAATCCATAATTCCACCGAAAATCTTCAAAGAGGTTAGAAATTGACTTTGACTTTATATGAAGTCATGTATTGTCTTAATCTAAACTTTTTGTAACAGGAGAAATATTTTATTACATTATCTTTGACAACTGTAATTATACATCATGTGTAATACTAGAAATTTTGAGTTCAAATATTGGATATGTAATTGCCCTAAATATTAAGAGGAAGAACTTTGTTGTCCATGATAGTCTCATCCAACTAAAGCATAATTGTTTTCGATGAAAGATACACACACATATAGATGAGGATTCTATTTACTCCAAGAGTAAGTTTTAATAAAGTTACTTCACTCAATAATCCGGTGATTATAGTAAATTTTAACGATCCAACTATTAAATTAAAAAAAGTATTGATGAATATATCAAGTCTATAAATTTTTAAAAAGTTTAAAAATTATATGATATTTCGTTATATAAATTTAAATTAATGTATAATATATTTTTTATTAATATACGTCAATTTGAAATAATATAACGAATTATCAAATATTTTTTAATATTTTTAAAAAATAAGCAGTCTTAATCTATTTATCAAGAACTTTTAATTCAATAGTTGAATTGTTGAAATTTAATATAATCACTTAGTTATTGAATAAAATAACTCTATTAAAACTTTATCTTGAAGTAAGTGGATAATTTCATATATATATATATATATATATATGTATATGTATATGTACATACATATATAAAAGAAGGGATCCATTGACTTAGTCCATTTAATAACTCATGTTTTACATCAAATTTCAACGATGCAACTATTGAATTTAAAGTTTTTAATACATAGATCAAGTTTACAAATTTCTAAAAATTTTGAAAATCATTTGATACTTTGTTTCATTAATTCAAATTAACGTATAAAATGATTTTATGATTATCCCTCAATTTGAATTAATGAAATGATATATCAAATGATTTTCAAATTTTAAAAAATTGTGTAGACTTGATCTATGTATTAAGAACTTTAACCACTCAATAACTTATGTTTTATATTAAATTTCAATGACTCGACCATTACATTAAAAATTCTTAACACACATATCAAGTTTGTAATTTTGTTAAAAAATTAAAAATTATTTGATACTTCATTTCATTAATTCAAATTAACGGATAATTATTAAAACATTCTATATGTTGATTTGAATCATTATAACGAAATATTATATAGTTTTCAATTTTTTTATTTTTTTTTACAGACTTGATTTACACATTAAAAATATTTAATTTAATGGTTAGATCATTCAATATTGATGTAGAACATAAGTTATTAAATGAAGTGAGTTTACTAAGACTTACTCTTAGAGTAAGTGGATCCCTCTAGTCTCTCTCTCTCTCTCTATATATATATATATATATATATATAAAGATCCATTGACACAATAGTGTCAAATTAGTGAAATGTCATCTTAAATAATTTTTTTATAGAATTGCAAATTCAATTGATCATATCGTTGTATTTTGATGATATTCAGTAGATCAAGTATAAAAGAAATATATTCAATTCTAAAATTATAAGGTACTTCATCCTATCAATTTATTTTAGCGTGTAAAATGATGTTCAAAATACATGAAAATATTATGTTTAGGGTTTGAAATAATAGATTGAAGTGATAATGTATGTTAAAATATTTTAATTGATTTTTTTTGAAAAAAAAATTGGATGGGTTGAAAATGGGTGAACTTAATAGTCCACTATTTTTAACTCACCAACTCACTAAAGTTGATCAATTAACCCGTTAATCCACTATTTTTTAACTCACCAACTCACTAAAGTTGGTCAATTAACTCGTCAACCCACCGCTAAGTGTGTGTGTGTGCTCACTAAAGTTGGTCAATTAACCCGTCAACCCACCACTAAGTGTGTGTGTGTCTGTGTCTGTGTATGTGTGTGCGTATGCGTGTGTGTGAGTGCGAGCGCGTGTGTGTGACGATCCTTAAATTAAAATAAATGGCTTAGATTAAAAGATATTACTACGTACTGTCATTATCTTAATTCTTTCTATCATTATTGTCTTCATCCTCGTTATTGCAACCGTCACTACCACCACCCCCACTGCTGCTACATTACCACTGTTTTTATCATATTACTATCATCGTTGTCGCTTCCACCACCATTGTCATCACCACTATCACAATTGCTACTATCACCATTGTTACTGCTACCACTACCATCGCTTTCACCATTCTCGTTACAGTCACCACCACCACCATTATTATCACTATTGTGTCATTACCACCACCATCATTAACGGTGGTGTCGACGACAATAGTAGTGACAAGGATATTGGTAATGACACTGATAATCAATGGTGGTGGTAGCTAGTGACAGTGAAAACAATGATAGTAACTGAAACAATGTTAATTACAATAACAAGGATAATGGTGGTAACATTGGTGGTTGTAATGGTGATGATGTGACAAATGTATGATGGACATGAAGGTAATAAAATTATCAACAACAATAAATATAGAAAAAATTATAATAATAATGATTTGTAATAATTTTACATCTATTTTTTTAATATAAATTATTTATTTTAACCTAAAAATTATTATTAGTTATTCTTATATTTTTATATTAACATGTGTTCTTATTTGGGTATTTTTGGTATATATATAAGTTGCATATCCCAAATTTGGTTAATGAGTCTTTTATTAGCTTATATTTGGGGCAATCCATCAAAATCCTTTCTGAGTCAGTGTGATCACCAGAAATTTGGAGTTGTCTCATTATTCGTCTTTCATGCATGTGAGGTTGGCTCCCACAGTCCCACCACAATTTTTCTTTTTTTCATAGTCATCCTTTAATTTGGATATGTGGCTCATCTTCAATACATTAACAAAATTTGTTTCCAATATTAAAATTTTATTCAAACCACGCCTAACACCATTTCAACCTAAGGCAATTTTCTCTCTTCACGACTTGCACCACAAATCATGCGCCCTACATGAGCAAGACAGAAAACCTCCAATTAAAACCATGCACGGTGCCATGAAGGCCTACCTGGTGCGACTGTGATTTCTCCACTTGTAGATTGGCTCAAAGCCACCTGAAAACCAACAACTACTAACATGAAATGTAACACAATATACAAAAGCATCATCCACAATTATTTTCATACCAGAAATCCAACATGCAACCACCAAATTGTCTAAGCTAACAAAATCATCCCAACATGCTTCAAAGTAATTAATAAATCCTAACTCAAGTCACTCAATTCGAACCATACCATTACAATAACATTTATGGATGAAATCAATCGACATACAGATCAATAACTCAATCAAGAACCAAAGTTGTAGCTTCCCTTACCTTTAATCTGAAGTGAACTAGGGGAAGAAGAAGAAGCAGAAATGAAAGTTGATCTCTAAGACTCTACACTAACAGATTCTTAGCTCCACAAGCTTGAATCACCAACTCAGTTGATCAACTATGATTCTACATACTCGAGAAATCTAGAAAGTAGAGAAAGAATGATTAGAACTCCAAAACTTTTCTCTCTAGTTTATTTCTTTAAGATCCTGAAGAACTAAACTTGTAAGAATCAATTTTTAACAAAAGCTTTATATATTTATTCCCTTAGGGTTAAACTGAACTTCTGCCTAGAAAAATTCTCTAAAACACCTAAATACATCTCATGAATTTCCTAACTCCTAAATTCCCTCAACATCACATCACAAAACATCTCAACACATACAATTATTGATAAAACACAATTAATGAAAACTTATAGTGTTACATTGTACATACCATCCCAACTCCCTACCAAACTCATCCTTTAATTACAAATATATTGAGATTCTAATTTTTACATATCCAATAGCTTTATATTAAAATTTCATTAACACATTCAGAAGAGATGATCATAAATATAATATCATTAAATATAATAGTTAGAAAATTATTAAAAATATCAATTTATTAATTTCACATCATAGTGTTGATAGATCTTAACTTTTATATCAATTAAATTTTTACACACTAACTATTATACCGTGAATAACCTTAATATTATATTAAAAGTGAATATTTTCTCCCTAATCGTTGAATTGTAACCATATATATTACTTATAGCAAATTTTGTCAATGTGTATTTTATTTGCTTATATTTTGGGCAATCCAGTAAAATCCTTTCTGAGTAATAGTATGGTCACGAGAAATTTGTAGGTTGTCAGATGATTCGTCTTTCATGCATGCAAGGTTGGTTCCCACGGTCCCACCACATTTGTCCACATTCATCCTTTAATTACAAACATGTCCAGATTCAATGTTTTTCAGATGAAACGCACTCCATAAGGAAAAACAACACAAACATGTGAATATTAAATTAATACGCATTGGGGTTGTTTAATGAGAAACGATTAAAGGATAGAAAAATGAGAGACATTGATCTTGATCCAGCTTTCATACAATCCACAGAACATCGTCCAAAAGCGAAGGTGGTTGAAGCTAGTGGGATTCCAGTGATCGACCTTTCAGAAGACAGAAAAGAATCACTGGTTTCGAAGATAGGAAAGGCGTGTGAGGAGTGGGGATTTTTCCAAGTAATAAATCATGGGGTTCCCTTGGAGCTAAGTAGAAGGGTTGAGATTGAGGCCAAGAAGTTCTTTATTGATTTGAGCTTAGAGGAGAAGAAGAAAGTTAAAAGAGACGAAATCAATGCGTCGGGGTACCACGATTCGGAGCACACCAAGAACGTCAGAGACTGGAAAGAGGTGTTTGATTATTTTGTTCAAGACAACGCACAAGTCCCATCTTCTCTTATTGACCCACATGACTTTGGGCTCACCACTCTCACCAACCAATGGCCACAAAATCCTCCTCATTTTAGGTATTCCTAATTAGATCATGTTTAGATATTTAGAAACTTTGAAAGTTTTATTATCGAAAAACATTTTATGTTTAGATGTTTTGTTTTCAATTATGTTTAATTAGGGAAACAATGGAGGAGTATGGACGACAAGTGGAAAAGCTAGCTCTGAAGTTGTTGGAGCTGATTTCATTGAGCTTAGGTTTGGCTGGTGACAAATTCCATGGCTACTTCAAGAGCCAACTCAGCATGTTGAGGCTCAATTACTATCCCCCATGTCCATTCCCTGACTTGGCACTTGGTGTTGGTCGCCACAAAGATTCCAGTGCCTTAACATTGCTTGCCCAGGATGATGTTGGAGGCTTACAAGTTAAGAGAAAATCAGATGGTGAGTGGATTCCAGTTAAACCCACCCCAAATGCACTTATTATCAATGTCGGGGATATATTTCAGGTATGTTACCACTTACTTTTACATGCTTTTGTTAACTATTACCTTTTCTCTTAAATGATCTTAGAAGTATCAGAAATTATGTTAACTAGTTGTCTAAATATTAAAAGATTATCTCATCCAATATGAGTTGGCGTGATGGTATGGTTAGGTAACATATTTTGGGACAATTTATTTAGTGAAAAATTAATTAATTAATTATTATATAATATGCTTTAGCTTTGCTGATCCATTGAGGACAATGTAAGTGGTTGAATTGGTTCAATCTAAATGCTTATGCCTATGCTTTTCTTTGTAGGTTTGGAGCAATGACAAGTATGAGAGTGTGGAGCACAGGGTAGTGGTGAACACAAAGAGGGAAAGGCTTTCAATTCCATTCTTCTTGTTCCCAGCTCACCATGTTATGGTGAAGCCTGCGGAGGAGCTGGTAAACGAGCAAAATCCTGCAAGGTACAGAGAATACAACTATGGCAAGTTTGCTGCTACTAGAAACCGTAGTGATTTCAAGAAGCGTGATGTGGAGAATATCCAAATTCATCACTTCAGGATCTTGGATTAGCCATTTCGATTGCCATTTTCATTCTCAATATCATCTATGTCTTAACTTATATCAAACTCCTATAAATGTACTCCACAAGTTTTCAATAAAATTATAGGAATGAAAAATAATTCAATTACTCTCCTTATTCATTCTATTTTCTAATATGACATCAATGTGTGATTAGAAGACCTTGATAAGAAAAATAAAGAAGTTAAACCTGACACCATCATTTCTTCGACGTATCACTTGAACGCGTCAAACAATCCCAAAACTCCTCTTGTGGCAATACTGTTGAAAGGAGAAAGTTATAGAAATTGGGCAAGATCCATGAAGATTGTGTTAAGGGCAAATTAAATGAAGATGGGTTTCATTGATGGTTTGATCGATAAACCCTTTCAAACTTCTACACTCACCATGGTTGGTAGAAAGCAGATTTGATGGTCATGACATGGATTATCAATTCAACAGACCTTGCGCTACATGGGAGCATTTCACATGCGACAATAGCAAGAGACATATGGCTTGATCTTGAAGAACGTTTGGCTCAAAAAAATGTTCCCTACATTCATCAATTATGGTGTGATTTATGCTTGATGCAACAAGAATCAGGTATAAGTTTGTCAGATCATTATGCAAGATTCAAGAGTATTTTTGATGAACTAAGTGAATTACAACCACTGCCTGAATGTATTTGTGGTGCTGCCAAAGAATTGGCACAATAAAAAGAAGATCATCGTGTTCATCTTTTCTTGGGGAGCTCGGACAGTGATCGATATATTCATATTAAAGGAACCATTCTAATTTTAGATCCTTTACCTTCTCTTAGATGAGTCTTTAATCAAATTCAAAGGGAAGAATCTCGGGTCGGCTAAAATAAACAAAGGAATGAAACATGATATTGGTGCAACATTTTATTCTCCTAAACCTAAAATAGGCGCATCATGCTACTCCAAAAAATACAAAAACAAAGACTACAAAGATGGACCAAAACCAAAGTGCGATCACTGTGGAAGGCTTGGTCATGAGAAGTTGAAGTGTTTCGAAATTATAGGATATCTATCTTGGTGGGATATGACCAGAACAAATGAAAAATGCCTTACAAATTCAGGGGGAGCACACTTAGCCTAGGCAAATAATCGTGGTCAAAACAAAAATATAGCACAAGAAAGAAACAATATTGCACTTCATGGATCATGCAACTACATAACAAATAAACAACAAGAATACATGTCTACTAATAAACTCATCTTTAGAACACATAGTTGGGTCTTGGACAGTGGAGCATCTCACGACATGACTCCACTATACCAACTCCTTAATGGTGTGTGTGATCTTGAGGGACCTTTACGTACTACAATTCCAACCAGAGAAGTGGTGATAGTTAAAAAAAAAAAGGAAATATGATCCATAATAGCAACATCACCTTATTAGATGTGTTATTTATACCTCAATTTAGCTGCAATCTGATTTCTGTTTACAAATTAACAACAAACATAAATTGTACAATAACTTATTAATTTAATAATTGTGTGATTTAGGACTTAACCAGGAAGAAGATGATTGGATCAGGTGACATGTGTGATGGGGTATACATATTCAAGACAATAGAAGAAAGAGCATCATTGGCGACCTATTATCAAGCCAATGTTTTGTGTCACGCAAGAATGGGTCATCCATCCAACCATAACATGTAAAAACTTTCTAGACACATCAGTTTTAGTTTTGATGCAAATAAATTAGAATGTTGTGACGCATGCCATGGTTCCAAACAATATACAATTACTTTTTCTTTGAGTACAAATAAAACCAATAAAATCTTTGAGTTGATTCATGTGATTTATGGGAGAAGTATAACACAAGACCACACAATGCCTCACACTACTTTTTGATGATAGTGGATGATTATTCTTGTGCACCATGGGTTTATCTTTTGAAAGTAAAGTCAAAAACAATAGAGGAACTTATCAATTTTTCTAAGATGGTTATAACACACTTTGAAACCAAAATAAAGGTTATAAGAAGTAATAATGGAACTAAATTTGTTAACATAAAGATTCACACTTTTCTTAATGATGAAGGAATCCTTCATGAGACTTCATGAGTCCAGACACCACAACAAAACGATCGTGTGGAAAAACAACGTCGCCATATACTTGATGTTGCATGAGCTCTTCAATTTCATGTCAATTTACCCCTATATTTTTTGGGAGAATGTATCTTAACTACAATTTACCTTATAAATAGAACTCTAACAGTGGCAAATAAAGGAATTACTCTTTATCAATTGCTATATGGTAAGCCTCCTTCCTATGATCATTTAAAGGTCTTTGGCTATCTTTGTTCTGTCAAAACGCCAACAAAACCACATGATAATTTTGTAATCCCCCTTTTGACACCAACACGGTCCAAATAAGCATGAATCCTCATCAAAACTAACATCTATATTGAACTTGGCAAAAAGATCATGATACTTTCATTTAAGGCAATATTCTCGACAACGAATTCTTGAGTGTTGTAGCAAGATGGCTTAGTGTCAATAGTGTGGAAAGGTAATCAAGAACAACTACAGCTAGGTAGGCTCAAATGAGATATCAAGGGTATAAATAAATGCAGTATGTGAATAAAAAAAATAATATATATTGGTAAATGTACAAAAAATTGAAAGTTGAAAGGGGAGGAATTAAATAATGTATTGTGGGACTGTAGAAAGCGTTGTGTGTAGACAAGTTTGACACAAACGTCTGTGCCTATCTCTGCTTAACCAACATCTACGTCTGCTCCTCTGGAGGTACTTCCATCTACTTCTGAACCGGCACAATAATATGTCTCAGCTGAAGAATTCAATAGGTTCAAAACAGACCTGAAAACAAGTTTGATAGCTTGTTTAACCTAATTGCATCCAAGCTACCCAAGGATCCACCTTCATCCTGATAATTAGAGAGGAGAGAATAGAATAGAGTGAATTTTTCTTAGAGAAAACGAAATTAATTGTATTATCTGATGGACATTTTTTTTGTACACCTTCCTACTTCAAATTTTCACTCCAATTGTTTCTTTATTTCTGCCTATATCTGTTTCTTATATTTTTTTGATGATCACAAAGGGGGAGAAACCGAAACAAAATTAATCAAACTATATACGGCCTGATAAAATCAGACATATTAAACTAGAAGAAAAGTAATGAGCAATCTAGTCAGGGGGAGATTATAGACTCAGGGGGAGAGTTACGATCAACAGGGTTCTAATCTGAAACAATTTTTGATTAATTATATTTGTCATCATCAAAAAAGGGGAGATTGTTAAGTCAGACGAAGAAACTCCCAACAAGGTTTTGAGTGAGACAAATATAATGTATGTTGTTATCTTTAACGAGTGTGTTAGTGTTTCAGAAGAACATAAGTATGGGTGAAATGAAGAACAAGCATATGCATCAGATGATACAAGACGTCAAACGAAAGGCTAACACAAGCATCCAACAAGGCCAAATCAAGAACAAGGCAAAACTGTGTCAAGCACAACCTAAAATGCAACATCAAGATGCAAACGAAGATGAAAGGAAAAGTCAATACAATGAAAAATGCTCTGACAAAGGTTGAGGTTTGAGCTACATATAGACTACCAGACCCAGAAAAAAATTGTCACCCAATCACCTGAAGAATCAAGCTTCAAAGGACAATTTGAATATCGTCCACACTCACAGGAGAACACACGAACTCATCAGAATTGTGAGCAGAAAATAAGAAAAGAAGAAAGGGGAAAATCAAGCGTAGAACTAAAAGCAAGTACATTACTATTTCAAACAAGGACAAAATTCCACAGCTATGACACCAGAAAAGGACAAAAAGGTTCCTAGGTCTCTGCTAAACTTAGACACTGCTGCTACCAAGACAAAGAATACTTCATGCAAGGTCTATCACAAGAGACAACATTAAATGCAAGAATCTAAGCATTAAATGAAAGGATCAAACTAGTCATGAACGAATATATCTGCTTCAACGGACACTTGCAACGGGTAGATGTCACAAGAATATATATAGGTCTCAACATCAAACCTTAGAAGGTTGGATGTTTGGCCCGAAATGGTTCAAGCAAGAAAAATAGTGATATCCAACCCATGATGCAACGAAACCAGAGATAAAGTGTATAGAGTCAAATATGCCATAGTGTATTCATCTCTGTAAACTAAGGAGTACCAAACATGTGTAACTTAGGAACAAACCCTTAGTGAGTGTACCAACTTATTTATCCTCTCTAGGAGAGTAAACCAAACACTCAAACCTGATTATACGTATAACATTGTAAAGCCTGAAGAGGCTAGGGAAATGATACTTGTAAAGCCTGGAGGGGCTTGTCAAAGAATACTCACTAGGAGCCTGAAGAGGCTGATTAAAAAATACTAGCACTAGTGAGTGAAGCTGGCAGGCCAGGAGTGGTCGAGAATACTTGGATCAGGAGTGGTTCTGACCTGGGTGGTCCATAATACTCACTGCTAGCCATAAGTGATTGAAAAGAATATACTAGCATTGGTGAGTGAAGCTGACGAGCCATGAGTGGTCGAGAATACTTGGACCAGGAGTAGTTCTGACCTGGGTGGTCCATAATACTCACTACTAGCCAGAAGTGACTGAAAAGAATATTCTAGCATTGGTGAGTGAAGCCGACGGGCTAGGAGTGGTCGAGAATATTTGGGGAACCAGAAGTGGTTTAAGAATACTAGCGTTGATGAGTGAAGTTGAGGGCCAAGAGTGGTCGAGAATACTCTGATCTAGGAGTGGACGATAATACTTAATGCTAGCCTGAGCCACTTACACAATGGTGAGAAGTTTAATGTTGACATAAACCAAAATTACCGTAGCTGCAATTTTTGGAATTTGGTAGGTACTCCATGCAGGCATGCAGTGGCTGGGCTACAGTTTAGAAAGTTGAACTTCATGAATTATGTTGACAATTGTTATTTTAGGGATACATATATTATGTGTTATGCAAACAAGATTTCAACCACAAATGGGCAGGATATGTGGCCTGAAAGTCAATTTGATGAGATTTAACCACCTAAAACTAAAAGGGGCCCTGGGCATCCAAAAATATTGAGATGAGAAACAGGTGAAATTGACCCAAATCTGACAAAACTGACAAGAGACTTTG